AAAGAAAAAATGAAAAGAAATCAAGTTTTAGGACATTATTTGAAGGGATTAAAGATCAAGACTGTTAAAAGTAAAAGGAAGAAATATAAAGTTGGTTTATTTGATCAAAGTTAAAATAGGTATGTTGTCATCTCTGGTATCCTTAATGGACTTTTGTTGATCAGGACTGAACGAGACTTTAAGGATTTATTTATAGATAAGAGATGGGATATGGGAAGAAGAAATCATTTGTTGTATTTTAAGGGGAAGTGATAAGTTACTAACATTGTTTATACTTACTGTGATGAAGGGGAAGTAATTTCTTTATACATTTATTTTCTTTTTCTTTACCATGTTCTTACTTTTTTTTCTCTATTTTTCTTTCTATTTTTTCTTCTTTTCTGCACCTTCTATTTTTTTCTTTTCTTTTCAGTTTGTATTATTTTTATCTTTTTAATTGTAATTTTTAATAAAATTACTATAAAAGAAACAAAATAAAAGTATGCATGTGTTATTGCTGGTATTTTTTAAACAAAACAAAGTGGTAATCATTAGGTTCTTAGAAGAATTATACAAATGCTTCACCAGATTTGACCTCTACAAAGGCATCTTCTGCTCCTGTATGATGGTAATACATCAAATTCTTAGAATGATTTATAATATATAGTTATAAGGGAAAGAGCATTGGTTGAATATGAATTAGTTTTAGAATAGGGAAAAAAATCCAGGTCAATGGCCTTTTTAAACAATCCATTCCCCGGTAATATTTATTAGATAGCAGAATCACATGAAATACAAATGGCAACAGGTGAAGGCAGCAAAGCCAAGGCTACAGATCAAAATGCAAAGTGCAGAGGTGTTTATTGGAATGGATTAACTAAGCAACGCTGTACCTAATTGAGCAATCCTATACTCTAATTATGTTGGATGGGAGCAGTGTGATATATTGTCACTATGCTAGCAGAATTGCCATTGTATCTTCTCATTCATTCTGCAAGAGGGGAGAAGTGTACAGTGCAGAATATCAGAAGATGGCATTAAAATGACAGAGATGCACTAGAATAAACACCATCATTATAGTGCTGGTGTCAAGGTCCCAGCATTCCATCTCACCCCATATGCGGGAGTTAAATTGGGAGCTAGAACATCTCAGGGTAGAAATGTCAGTCATGAAAACAATCAACAGTCACCTACCTCTAAGACTCAAAAACACCTGTCATCATCATCATCATCGTCGTCATCATCATCTGTGGCAATTATGGGAAAAAGAAGCATTGGATTTAAACTACACTAGATATAAGGGTAAACTGCACTCTCACATTGAGAAAAGGCAATCCATTATTTAAAGAAGTTTCATTCTAATATGCATTAGACTCAAATTTGCTACCCCCTGAGTTTGAGCCAGGGAGCTTGACATCATATGTAAAACATAAGACAATCTAAAAAATTCAGTCCATCAGTCCAACTGTCACAGGCAGTTATGACTCTGGATTTTGCCAATTTCCAGGGGTACCTCCAGATAGAGGGTTGGCATGGAGGAATATTGATTATACAGGATGTGTTTATCCCATGTTCTGTCTCCCTAAAACTGCCTTATTTTGTCAGTTTTGTGGCATAATTTGGCAAGCAGAGCAGACCTTCTGTTTTGACCCCACTCCTGTAGCTCTCCTGCCTCTGAGACAAACTGTGATATTTGATGGCATACACAATATATCATGAGGCCTGATTTATATATATTGCTGGGAAAACTTACTTATTGGGAATTCTGGGCAGTTTGTCTATCTTTTAATCAAAGCATATTGCTATGGCTTACAGTGCAGCATTGGGAGCTGTTCTGATGTGCCAACAGCACACTGGTAGCTGCTGGAGACATGGTTTAAATGAAGCCCTAGGGATGCAAGAATGCGATTTGTGCATGTTTTTCTTCCATGCCCAGCACCCCTATTAAATCAACCTATGATCAATTAATTGTTAAAAGTCAGTGAAAATGTGAGATTTAAATTTTACAAATCAATCAATATTTAATGTGTGTTACAGCATTGATATTATATATTAACTAGGCAATTTGCTGCTAATGGATGTGCACTTGTCTCTCATTCAGTTTGATTATCTTTGCTAAGTTTTAATAATCCTTTTTAAAGACTCATGTTTTCTAGCCTTTTGTTTGCAGATAAATGTCTTATTTAATAAATGTAGTACAGTATAAAAATAAGTGATGGACAAAAGGCAAAAGAAATGGGGATTTTTAAACAATAGTTTCCTCTTTGATATAATATGTTTGTTTCCTCCTCATTTCAAAACTAAACCATTGCATCCATACAGATTCTGGGGTGGTCTTTGACTTCTATGGATTAGTTCTCAGAAATAATATGAATTTCACCAATTGTATATGAGGTGACAACCTTGCATCAATTAAATTAAAGAAGGGGCAAATCCGTTTGTTTCTGATCCATAATACCTATCTGTATTTACATGTCTATATTGTGTTAGCACTAATGTTTCCTTTCATTGAAGAAACAAAGTATCAATACAAAACCTAAAAGAAATACAGAATTCAAAAGAAAAATTAAACCAAGACAAAACCAACAGCAAATTAAAAAAAAAGGAAAGGTAATCTAGGATATTCTAAAAATAAGCACAATCAATATTTAAAACTTAAAAAAAAAACCTCACTTTCACCATGTGCATTTCCAAACATATTTTCTCAAAAGGATTCTTTGTGTTATTTACATAAATACATTCTTTGAACCATCAGATGAACTGGAACTTTTGGGAAATATAAAGGGCGTCAGACAATTATGATCTGATTTATACATCAGTTCTGAGATACAGATCACAACAGTTCACCAAGGAATTCCTCCTACATCCTACTCTGGATTATAGTTGAGGCTGACTGTAGTGACTGCATTCAGAAAACTAGCACACAGGATGTTTTCTAGAGTCCTTGGCCGGTCTGCTGAAGGTCTTGACAGCCATTATATGAGGAAGGTGTTTGTGGAGACCTTGCACTCTGAAATGGTATACAGCACTTTTTAATAAATGAAATGGTCTTTACTTTAAATTACTCTATATCTCTGATTCAGCATTATGGCTCTGAATGACATTGTACATGTACAAAAAAATTGAATTGTTCTGAAGCATCATTTTATATTATTAGATTTTTACCCCACCTCTATCTATTTGTCTACCTATCCATCTCAAGCTGGCAAACATACCTAATTCTCCCACTTCCTATTTTCCCTATAACAACTCTGCGAGGTGGATTGGGTTGAGAGAGAGAGAGTGACTGGTGCAAAGCCACCCAGCCAGCTTTCATGCTTAATGGAGGCCTAGAATTCATAGTCTCCTGGTTTCTAGGACAGCACCTTAACCACTACACCAAACTAAAGGAGAAAACTACACCCCCACCAAGAATGGCCGGACAAGCTACTGTATATAAACAGGGAGCAAACCCCACACTCACTAGCACACTCACACATTACTTAGTCAAGTAATGAAACGTCTGCAAGCAAACAACCAGAGAGCACCTAGGACTCCACAGTTCAACCCTGAGCTACATATACAGTATTCTCTTCTATTGGAACTGGTATCATTGTTGAATCACACAGGCTTGAGCAATCAGTAAGCAGAAGTTTTAGATAGATGCCCACAAAATAGGGCATGGAAAGTCACATGACAAAGAGACTGGATTTCACCAGCAAATTGGGACAAATTAAGTGGAGAACAACACTGGAAGACAAACAAACTATTATTAAGATTAATGCCAACTAAGTTTGGGATAAGATATTATTTTCTATATCTACATTACATAATTTTCAGAGTAACTCCCTTGACAAGATGGCACTGATCTTTTATTATAGTCATTTCTTCAAGGTGAAACTTGAGGATTTAGCATAAAAATTCTGGTGAAATAAATGATGAATTGATTTAAAGGGAATGTGACAGATACAGCCTTTTTCAGTTTCAGAGAGTTACTTTAAGAAGTGTTCCATTGGTGCAACTTCATTGTGATATATTGAATAACAGAATATATATCTGATCCAGTGTTCTTAATGGATCTAGTCCAAGTTAGAACCTGAAATAAAGTAGAATACACACACACACACACACAGAGCAAGATATATTTCCCGACTCCAGGATAGATTTTACTGGCTCTGCAGGACTTTTATCTTTCTTTCACTTGCTGCAAACAATATTGATATAGATCGTACCTTCCAATACTCAACTCAGCCAAGATGAGAGGCATAGTTGAACCTTCTCATCATCTGGGGCGCTGAATGGTGTATGGGACTAGATCTCAGCAAATAAATGTCAGTAGAGATCCTTGCCAGAAATAAAAATAAACGTCCACAGCAAGCTACAATGACACCGTGCACATGGTAACATCATCACACAAGTGCCACCAAATATACTCGCATCTTGGTGTCTGATTCAAATACATGTCATGGCATTTGCATGATTATGTCAATGTTTATTTATTTACAGGGTTTATAGGCCGCCGCAATAGTCAACCCCAAGCTGCCTACAGCTTCCCAAATCTGTAATTTGGGATTAAAAGCGAACAGGGAAATAATCACATTTAATATGCACACTTCGTCATTTAATCCCCTTGACGGACACTTACGATCGCATAGCAAATGTAACTCTTTGCCGCTACTGTTCTACTGCAGAACATGCAGGTGGTTGGTTTCCCCTCTCCCCCCCCCCCCGTTCGGTCGTCGCGTCTACTCGGCAGCGAGG